TACATATATATATATATATATATATATATATATATATATATATATATATATATATATATATATATATATATATATATATATATATATATATATATGCGAACAAGCCTGAATGGTCCCCAGGACAATATGCAACTGAAAACTCACACCCCAGAAGTGACTCGAACCCATACTCCCAGAAGCATACTTCCGGGGCTCAGTGTACATACCAGTTGCGTTGCTTCTGGGAGTATGGGTTCGAGTCACTTCTGGGGTGTGAGTTTTCAGTTATATATATATATATATATATATATATATATATATATATATATATATATATATATATATATATATAATATATATATATATATATATATATATATATATATATCGAATAAATTAATCCGTGATGGAGTCAGAATTTGTTTCGTGTGGATTCCATCCCATATTGACCTCCGAGTGCATGGTGGTAGAACTGATGAGTTATGTACTCTAAAGATGGAGTGGATTACCATCTTGAATTCCATGCCTGAGCCTGAGGACAGTAATATACCAGGAAGGTTACCTTGAAGTTACTTTGAGGTGCTTCCGGGGCTCAGCGTCCCTGCGGCCCGGTTGTCGACCAGGCCTCCGGGAACAGCAACAAAATTTAGTAGACTTGAGGCAAAGTGAAATTCTCACCAGTTACTCCATTTATCATCATTCTATCTATCATCCAGAAAGAGGCAGACATCTATGGATCATCCAGAAAGAGGCAGACATCTATGGATCATCCAGTAAGGTTGTCAGTCATCTAGATGTTACTACTGCTGGACTTGGGCTCGATTACAAGTACCTCTGACAATTTGTCCCTCCCTTCGAAGCAGAACAGACCAAATGTAGACCAGACCACACACTAGAAAGGGAAGGGACGACGACGTTTCGGTCCATCCTGGGCCATTCTCAAATCGATTGTGAGAATCGACTTGAGAATGGTCCAGGATGGACCGAAACGTCGTCGTCCCTTCACTTGCTAGTGTGTGGTTTGGTCAACATATTTCAGCCACGTTATTGTGACTCCTCGTCTGCAGACCAAATGTATACTCTGTCAGTAGAACTATTCACATATTTTATATCACTGTCTACATTAAATGGAAACAAAATCGCAGAATTCAGAGATAACTCTTACGAGTGTTGAAGGACTTGATTCACTGTGATGTACTACGAGAAATCTTAGTTAAGGATCCAAAGTTTGCTAACCGTAAGATTGGCGGTACATGACTAACGCGGCCGCCCAGGTGGGTGTGCCCAACATGTTCAGCAAGTATGGAACTGGCTCGCCACAAAGTGTCACTTGCTAAATGAACTGTGGATTTCAGTTCCTGAACCCATTATGGGCCCCTGTAACAGTTTCCACTACCGCCCGCGGGATGGGTATGGGGTGCATAATAAATGAGCAAAATTAATCAATAATGAGAAGGATGTTGGGCAGGGAATGTAAAGGTGGACACTACCCCTCCCTCCCTCCCTTGCTCCCCTCTACCTCCCACCCTTGTTCCCCTCTCCCTCCCCTCCCTCAGGGAGGGTGAAGATAAGGTAAGACACGGGAGGTGCTGCCCTCTGCACGGCCCCCAGCGCACCCTGGCGGAAAGTGGGAATACACGAGACATGTGACGAACACCCGACATGTTAGAAGCCGAGGCGTGGTGGCCCGCCGAGAGAACATAAACAAGGGTACAAAGGCCATTCAATCTGACGACATGACGATATTCCGGAATACCTGTAACTCTGAGCATTCAACTTGCTAACTTATTATCCCTGTTATGGGAGTTATTGTCTCCTGCCTTGCCTTAATGGGTTATCTTGAGATGATTTCGGGGCTTTTTAGTGTCCCCGCGGCCCGGTCCTCGACCAGGCCTCCACCCTCAGGAAGCAGCCCGTGACAGCTGACTATCACCCAGGTACCTATTTTACTGCTAGGTAACAGGGGCATAGGGTGGAAGAAACTCTGCCCATTGTTTCTCGCCGGCGCCTGGGATCGAACCCAGGACCACAGGATCACAAGTCCAGCGTGCTGTCCGCTCGGCCGACCGGCTCCCGGGTGTCGCTAACATTGATTACATGTACGGTAGACGAGGCATACCCCTCTAAACACACAACGTAACGGTCCCTATGATTCCCCTTGTTACAACTTGTAATAAAGTTGTTACATCTTGTTATAACGATTTTATGACGTATTACATAGAACGTTGTCACAACGTCCTATATTGGTTGTTACAACTGTTAGAAGGTGTTAAAACTTGTTTGAAGGTCGTAGTTTAGTGGTGTGTGTGTGGCGGGACATGAGCGTGGAGAGGTCTATGGGGCCACACTGTACACACTAAGGTGAGCCTTGCAGCGTATTATATACAATGAGAGTTGCGTTCTTATTAAATGCAGTTCACAATGTAAATATATTTAGCGGTTAGAAACTGAGGTAGATAACATAATGTTAATATGCAGTTGAAAGGTCTTAAACTTGAAGTCTAACTTAATGTTCATATTGTTATTATTTTTTCTTAGTTACTGTTTTTCATCTTTTTTTTTTTAATTTTGTCACTTTGTTGTGTGTTTTGTGTTAATCATGAGGGAGCATACTCCTGTCCCGTGGTCTCCCCCCTTCCCCCTCCTCTCCCATCTCTCTCTCTTTTTCTCTCATGTACTTACCTAGTTGTGCTTGCGGGGGTTGAGCTCTGGCTCTTTGGTCCCGCCTCTCAATCGCCAATCAACAGGTGTACAGGTTCCTGAGCCTACTGGGCTCTATCATATCTACATTTGAAACTGTGTATGGAGTCAGCCTCCACCACATCACTGCCTAATGCATTCCACTTCCTAACTACTCTGACACTGAAAAAGTTCTTTCTAACGTCCCTGTGGCTTGTGTTTGTGTGTGTGTGCGCACACAGGTATACTAAAAGTTGTGACCTAGCACAGGTACAGCTGTGACCAAGTACACAGCTGTAAGCACAGCTGGGACCAAGCACAGCAGCTGTAAGCACAGCTGTGACCAAGCACAGCTAGCTGTAAGCACAGCTGGGACCAAGCACAGCTAGTGTAAGCACAGCTGGGACAAGCACAGCTAGCTGTAAGCACAGCTGTGACCAAGCACACAGCTGTAAGCACAGCTGTGACCAAGCACACAGCTGTAAGCACAGCTGGGACCAAGCACACAGCTGTAAGCACAGCTGTGACCAAGCACACAGCTGTAAGCACAGCTGTGACCAAGCACACAGCTGTAAGCACAGCTGGGACCAAGCACAGCTAGTGTAAGCACAGCTGTGACCAAGCACAGCTAGCTGTAAGCACAGCTGGGACCAAGCACAGCTAGCTGTAAGCACAGCTGTGAAGCACAGCTACACAGCTGTAAGCACAGCTGTGACCAAGCACAGCTAGCTGTAAGCACAGCTGTGACAAGCACAGCTGTGTAAGCACAGCTGTGACCAAGCACAGCTGTAAAGCACAGCTGTGGCAAGCACAGCTAGTGTAAGCACAGCTGGGACCAAGCACACAGCTGTTCACACCATAATATAACCTTCAGGCCTTGCAAGCCTGAAAGCTGCTCAAACTTACAGTTATAAGGACGCTGACAATGTGTGCAAATAATGTACTCTATATTTGTGTTTATGAACCATATCTCTTTTTATAGTAAAGAGAAGAAAAATGTAAACAAAGGTGAGAAAACTTTTAAAGTCGCTCATCAATGCACTAATGAGTCAAATATGAACAAAATATATATATATTGGAAACAATAAGAACATAAGAATAAAGGTAACTGCAGAGGGCCTATTGGCCTATACGAGGCAGCTCCTATTTATATCCACCCAATCCCACTCATATACATGCCCATATAATCACTAATTTATATGGGGAAAAAGGGAATTAAAGATAGGTGAGAAATGTGTTTATGAAATATAGCAGTTGTTTCATCAGGCGAGTTACCGCTCTCAAAGGTCAGTTAAAACTCTAGAGCAACAGAAGTACACTTACATCGCATCAGGCTTGGATACCCATGTGCATGGGAAATAGGCTTACAGGTTCCGGAAGATGAGAGGAAATGTCAGCACTGGGGGAGCCGGTCGGCCGAGCGGACAGCACGCTGGATTTGCGATCCTGTGATCCTGGGTTCGATCCCAGGCGCCGGCGAGAAACAATGAGCAGAGTTTCTTTCTCCCTATGCCCCTGTTACCTAGCAGTAAAATAGATACCTGGGTGTTAGTCAGCTGTCACGGGCTGCTTCCTGGGGGTGGAGGCCTGGTCGAGGACCGGGCCGCGGGGACACTAAAGCCCCGAAATCATCTCAAGATAACCTCAAGATAACTGTGGAGAAATGCTCGACAGACCACTGGAACATTATCTAACACAGTGTACAGTTACAAACCCATTATGATTTCAACTTAGAGTCAACAGAGCAGAAGAAGTTATTAAACACATATGGGAAAATCTTACTGAAGCGACCATACGAGTCATAAGTACTCACACTCCGCCCAAGTAAAACAGAAACAAGCAACACTTAGTGGGCCAGCCAGAGGCTTAGGGCCCGCGCAGGAATATCCCTGCAAAAAAAAAAGTTAAAACTCATCTGAATCTATTCTGGCAATGAGCTGATCACCCTTCCCCCCCCCCTAATTGCTCTAAACTACCTCTTTCAGAAAATGATGTGGAATCAAATCTTGCTCACTATCATTAATTTTCTTAATTCCCTTCTGGTCTTATCTTATACCAGACTGATTGTTAGGCCTAGGCAATAGTGGGGTAGGCTTTGAATATAGCGAGGGTTGGAGGAATAGGGAACAGTGGGTTGGACTTCAAGAAGAGAGAGAGAGAGAGAGAGAGAGAGAGAGAGAGAGAGAGAGAGAGAGAGAGAGAGAGAGAGAGAGAGAGAGAGAGAGAGAGAGAGAGAGAGAGAGAGAGAGAGTGAGTTAGCGGCCAATAATAAAGTTAGTAGAAGAGTATACAAAGTAAGGTGCAGTGAGCTAAGGTCCGTGGCGGTGCTCCTCCTCCTGCAGGCTCAGACTCGGCCGTGGCGACGGGTCTTCTGCGGCTCTTCCTTGACGAGCTCCCGCACCCGCTCCTCCCTCCAGATGTCGCCCCTCTCCTCCTCCAGCTGGCCGCAGGTGAGACCACTCCCGCCTCCTCCCTCCTACACCTTCACCTCACTCCCAATAGTAATAATAATAATAGTAATAATAATAATAATAATAATAATAATAATAATAATAATAATAATAATAATACCTAATTTAAGTTGCTTGGTTATTAGGGCAATGAATATAGAGACAATTTGGTAAATATATATTATTTAAGTGGTTTGGTGAATGGCTAGACCTAACCACGCCACTTCTATATATATATATATATATATATATATATATATATATATATATATATATATATATATATATATATATATATATATATATATATATATATATTATTTTATCTGAATGTATTTGTTGTATGGCGTTATATATGGATTTAGGTGATGTGTGTGTTGATGGTGTTAGTTATAACTGAGTGATCCGTGCTCCTTCCTGCCTTAGACTCAGGAGTGGGTGAGAGCGGGGAAGGTGTGTGTGGCGGCAGTAGCGGAGAAGGAAGAGGAGGAGGAGGAGGAGGAGGAGGAGCAGCTGGAAGAGGACAGGAAGGAGGCGTGAGAGACGCAGCCAAAGAGGAGCCGCCGCCGCTGTGTGTGGCCGTGGTGCCCCGCCTTCGACGCCTCCTTCACCGCCGCCTGCCGGTGCACAACCTGTGCCTCCTGCGGTACCTGGCCGCCTTCATCCACCAGCTGCGTACAGGCAACCACAACACGTGAGTACACTCATGCACTCATGTATTATGCACTCCGGAACCATCCCGTGGGCGGGGGTGGACAGGGTTACACAGGAACACCCATGAACTCAACCCAATAATTACTTGAGCTAAGCAAGTGACAATCTTTTGATCATAAGTGATTCAAGAAGCCGCCCACGACAGTCTGTATAGAAGGCAGTTTACATCGGCGGTGAGTCAGTCACACAGTTACCAGTCTTGCTCCACACCCACCCACCTGGGCGGCAGCTTTACAGTCATGTGCAGGCTGCACCTACAGTAAGCAAACTTTGGATTACACTGTGGTGGTGTTGGAGTTAGGGTTGGGGGCCCCTTGTTTGGTGCTAGGGTTGGCGGAGGCCCCAACCACACCGTGGTAATATCATCATTGATGTCTATGTATCATATTGGCTACGGTGGTTCACAAATAGTTTTAATATGTGGATATTTGTATTCCAAAAATTATATAATAGTAAGAATAAAAATAATAATGTTTGCAGTGTGAAATCTTCCATTGTAAGAGACGTGGAACGACCAGATTCACGAAGCAGTTACGCAAGTACTTACGAACGTGTACATCTTTCCTCAGTCTTTAACGACTTTGGTTACGTTTATTAAACAGTTTGCAAGCATGAAAACGTCCCAATCAATTGTTGTTATTGTTATAAACAGCCTCCTGGTGCTTCGGAGCTCATTAACTGTTTAATAATTGTAAACAAAGCCGCCAAAGATTCAGAAAAGATGTACAGGTTCGTAAGTACTTGCGTAACTACTTCGTGAATTTGGCTCCAACTGGAGCCTTCCTCTTGATGCCTGTGTACAGCACCTAGTTGTTTGGTACTAGGCGTTCTCTCGCCTGGTGGGCTGTTAACCTAGTGAACTCCCATATCTTATGGTATGTACCCTACCATAAGATAAGTCAAGGCTTTCTCCACTCCCTCTGTCAAGTCGTTAACATATATCAGAAACAGTACGGGCCTTAGAACAGACCCTTGTGGTACTCCACCCGTAGCCTCTCTCCACTCTGATGTCTCTGCTCTCACTGTAACCCTCTGCTTCCTTCCTGAGAGAGACTCTCTGACCCACCTTAGGACTCTTCCAGATACGCCAACCTGCTTCTCTAGTTTGAGTCTTTCTTGTTGGACTGTATTAAATGCTTTCTGGCAGTCTAGGAATATGCAGTCTGCCCAGCCTTCTCTCTCATGTTTGATTTCTGTTATCTTGTTATAGATCTCCAGCAAGTTTGTCAAGCAGGATTTTCCTTGACTAAAACCGTGATGGTGCCACGAGACAACATTTATCTGCTCTAAATGTTCCTACTAGCCTGCTTCCTGGTGTGTGTGTGTGTGTGTGTGTGTGTGTGTGTGTGTGTGTGTGTGTGTGTGTGTGTGTGTGTGTGTGTGTGTGTGTGTGTGTGTGTGTGTGTGTTTACTAGTTGTGTTTTTGCGGGGGTTGAGCTTTGCTCTTTCGGCCCGCCTCTCAACTGTCAATCAACTGTTTACTAACTACTTTTTTTTTTCACACACACACACACACACACACACACACACACACACACACACACACACACACACACACACACACACACACACACACACACACACCACCCCAGGAAGCAGCCCGTGACAGCTGACTAACTCCCAGGTACCTATTTACTGCTAGGTAACAGGGGCATTTAGGGTGAAAGAAACTTTGCCCATTTGTTTCTGCCTCGTGCGGGAATCGAACCCACGCCACAGAATTACGAGTCCTGCGCGCTATCTACCAGGCTACGAGGCCCCGCAGTGTGTGTGTGTGTGTGTATTTACCTAGTTGTGCTTGCGGGGGTTGAGCTCTGCTCTTTCTGCCTGCCTCTCGACTGTCAATCAATCAACTGTTGCTAACTACTAACTAACTAATTTTTTGTGCTTGTTTTGCGTTTAAACATGTTAAGAATGGTGTTAGATAATAACAAGTTGCCATATTCCCTAGAGCCCCAGCCTCTTTTCCACTTATTTCGACTCACAAAAGTGACGTACTGTTCCGTTTTCTGTTTGAGTCGTCCGGCTTACTCGGCCAGCTTAGAAGAGGAAACTTTCCATTAACGTTTTTCATAACGTTTTGAAACTTTATGATAATTTCCTGCCCACCTAACCTATCAGAGGACCCTTAACTTACTGTTGTTGAAAAAAAAAAATCCCAAATTTATTTTCATTTTCAAATTACGTCCACTTTCGGCCATACGGATAAACGGCCAAAAGCGACGTTCTTTTTAAGAGGACAGGTTGCTCACACGGCCAAAACCTTTCAGGATGACGTGATCACACCTCCATATTCCTGGAGACAATTTGGAGTTTTAGAAGGATAATTATACACCAAGGTTTTCACCCCTATTATTCATTTTATTAATTATCTTCAGACGTCTTCATCTTGTCTTCCTTCTGTTTATCTTTCTTCCCTCTCATGTCTTGAGTCGAGGCCTCCCCGTTCAGAGGCACTCAGCACTGTGTGAGGGTGGTGTTGAGGGCCTCAGGAGCAGCTTAGGTGAAGGTCAAGGGGTCATTACTTCTTCCAAGCTCCTCTTCCTGTCCCCGTAGTGGTGCTCCTCCTCCTCCTCCTCCTCCTCCTCCTCCTCCTCCTCCTCCTCCTCCTCCTCCTCCTCCTCCTCCTCCTCCTCCTCCTCCTGCACTCTCTCGGTCTGTTGATCTCCCCCTGGCCGACTACCTCACTTGATCACTTGAGACCTTCTCAAGACCCCAAGACGAGTGTAGTGGAGTTATTCCTCTGGTGTGGTGTTGTGCTCCCACGAGCTCATTCACTCTGTTGTCATTCACCTACACCCTCACTCAGTCACTCATTGGCTCGAGGTGTTCGGCCCCGGGTGAAGGAAGGATGTTATCGGGGCGGGTTGTGGATGGTAGCGATATGGATAGTGGATAGTAACGATGGCGGAGTGGATGGTAACGGTAGGGGTGGCTGGTGGTAGCGGTACTGTGTAGTGTACTTGCAGTCTGACGCATCAAATACAGGAAAGATTGTAATACTGTAATTAGTAGTGTGATATCCACGGGTACTGAAACACTACATGTGATCCCCGTAGGCTTCACCGGTGGGTTATACCGCCCGCGGCCTCCGTTTTCTTTGATTGTAACCGATCTCTGTTTAATGTCCACTGTTGATGCCGTGTATCGCTGGATATCTGAATGGTTGCAGTTGTATCATGCACCGTATCAACAACGTCTTCAACTTCTCCATAACAAAAGCTTAATATAGGAAGCTTTTGTTATGCAAAAACTTGAATAGTTGCAGCACACTCTACCTTCCCCAGTGTGGTGTTTGTACCTGAATTGCACCTGGATGAGGTTCTCGGGATTCTTGTACCCTTAAGCACGCCCCGGGACCAGGCTTTACTTGTGAGAGCTTGGTCCAACAGGCTGTTGCTTCGGGCGGCCCGCAGGCCCATATATCAACCACATCCTGGTTGGTCCGGCACTTCATGCAAAAAACTGTCCAGTTTTTTCTTAAGACTTCCACTTTTGTTCCGACAATATTTGTTACACTTGCTGGGAGGATGTTGAACAACCGTGGACCTCTTATGTTCATACATTGTTCTCTGATTGTGACTATGGCACCTCTACTCTTCACTGGCTCTAGACTATGGCACCTCTACTCTTCACTGGCTCTAGACTATGGCACCTCGACTCTTCACTGGCTCTAGACTATGGCACCTCTACTCTTCACTGGCTCTAGACTATGGCACCTCGACTCTTCACTGGCTCTAGACTATGGCACCTCGACTCTTCACTGGCTCTAGACTATGGCACCTCTACTCTTCACTGGCTCTAGACTATGGCACCTCTACTCTTCACTGGCTCTAGACTATGGCACCTTTACTCTTCACTGGCTCTAGACTATGGCACCTCTACTCTTCACTGGCTCTAGACTATGGCACCTCTACTCTTCACTGGCTCTAGACTATGGCACCTCTACTCTTCACTGGCTCTAGACTATGGCACCTCTACTCTTCACTGGCTCTAGACTATGGCACCTCTACTCTTCACTGGCTCTAGACTATGGCACCTCTACTCTTCACTGGCTCTAGACTATGGCACCTCTACTCTTCACTGGCTCTAGACTATGGCACCTCGACTCTTCACTGGCTCTAGACTATGGCACCTCTACTCTTCACTGGCTCTAGACTATGGCACCTCTACTCTTCACTGGCTCTAGACTATGGCACCTCTACTCTTCACTGGCTCAATTCTACATTTCCTTCCAGATCGATTACTCTAGTATGTTGTTATTTTACTGTGCAAATTAGGGTCCTGGCGCACTAGTATCTTCCATGTACAGTATATATATAATTTGGTACCTTTTCTCGTCTCCTTTCTAGAGAGCACATTTTGATTACTGTGAGAGTGAGACGATGACAATAATTTAGATGCTTTATCGTATCTCTGCGTGTCGTATATGTTCTCTGCTTTCCCCCTAATAAGATATATGACTGACACGTGGATCACCGTATACCACCAGACTCTACTGATACCCCAGGAGAGGTTGAAAGTCTCGGTTGGATACCAGTTTGGTCTCTCTGGGACTCTCACTTATTGTGGGTGTTCGTATGTTATTGTTGTTGTTTTAGATCCAGCGACTGGTAACTAAAAGTTGCAAGTAGCACGGGCTATGGTGAGCCCGTAGTGGACTTACCTGGCACAGGAGCGGGGCTATGGTGAGCCCGTAGTGGATTTACCTGGCACAGGAGCGGGGCTGTGGTGGGCCCGTAGTGGACTTACCTGGCACAGGAGCGGGGCTATGGTGAGCCCGTAGTGGACTTACCTGGCACAGGAGCGGGGCTATGGTGAGCCCGTAGAGCCCGTAGTGGACTTACCTGGCACAGGAGCGGGGCTATGGGAGCCCGTAGTGGACTTACCTGGCACAGGAGCGGGGCTGTGGTGAGCCCGTAGTGGACTTACCTGGCACAGGAGCGGGGCTATGGGAGCCCGTAGTGGACTTACCCGGCA